CGTGTCTGCCTTAGGTCGTCCAGCCGACTTCCGAGTGGGCCACGGCGGGCCACATGGAAGGAGCGCGCGGACCATGGATCGTGCAAGCTCGAGGCGTCGTATCGGTGAGCGTGGCGCTGCCTCGTCCAGGATCGGCAAGCGTGAACGGCACCCGAGTACCAACGCTCCATGTACAGGCCGGTACCTACATTTTGCAAAACGCGGTATTGGCCGCACGCGCGAGAGGACGGTACGTCGCCGCCTTTGAACAGGGGCGCGCGTGGCGACTGGCCTACCTTCACGGCTTCCAACCGATCAACACGAGCAGTCCAAGGGCCTTATCAACTACGCCGTCTACCTACGCGACCAAGGAAACTCGACGGGCACCGCCCAATCCAACTTTGCGACGTCGCTTCGTATCATCACGTGCATCGAATGCACAACGTGGCGCTGGCACCCGACCATCGGCTCGTCCTCCGAGCCAGGAACCGAACCGATGGACCCGCCCAACGCAAGGAGCCCGTCAGCATCACCATGCTCTGGTACATGCGCGCCGGCCTCACTTCGACGCCCCCAGCAGCGCTCTCTCTGGGGGGCTGCGCTGCTGGGTTCCGTCTCTCTTTTGCGCAAGTCCGACTACTCGCACAAAGGGTTCAGACCCGCAACGCACGGCGTCCGGGTCAGGGACGTCTGGCTCACCACCCGCTTTGAGACAGTAGCGCAGACGGTAGAAATCGAAGTTCCCGTCATCCCGAGCTCGAAGGCCGATCAACGCGGTGACGACACGATGTTCCCCTCTCCCGCTCGGCCAGCACGTAGCTCTGCCCGATTCCAGCTCTGTGGGAGCTGCAAGGCTTGCACTGTGAGCCGGCGCGTCGGAAGACGACCCCCTCTACACATCCGTTAACCAACACGGTGTCGCCGTGCCGGTCACGGAGCTCCAAGTCAGGCAGCTCATCCGCCGCGCAGCAGCTTAGCTCGGCAAGGAGCCAACAGCGTTCACGATGCACTCGCGGCGAAGCGGCGGGCCCATGGCGCAGCTCAAGTGTGGCGCTAGGATCCGACGACCCAGATGCTTGGCCGATGGCGCAGACACGTTCAAGGTCCACGCGCTCATCGACGGTGTGGCGATCGCTCAGTTGGCCAGCCGCATGGCCTTTGGGGGAACCGCCACGCCTCACCCGAGGTGCAGCGGTAATGCAGGCCTCGCGCCCTTTTTCCCCCTGAGCGAAGAAGCCATGTGAAATGGGTGTTTCGCGCCTGCACAGGAGTCGAAACGGACTTTTCAAGAGAAGGCGGCTCAGCGAAACCAACGACTGGTGGCCAGAGCCTAGCATTCTAGTTTCCGATCTCCGCTAAGCAACCCGCCACGCCTCACCCGAGGTGCAGCGGTAATGCAGGCCTCGCGCCCTTTTTCCCCCTGAGCGAAGAAGCCATGTGAAATATCTTGGTCATAAATCTTTTTTACGATGTCGACCTCCAATTTCACACTTCCAACGGTGTCGACTGGTGTCGTAGCGCGAAATGAGATGCAAG